TATACATAATGGCTCTTTAGACTCTTAGGTTAATTCATTATATTGTAATAAAACTTATATGATCTACCCATGAGTATTTAAAAAAATAAAATATAAAAAAAACACGAGGAAAATGAAGAAAAACAATAAATTTTATTTATTGCGCATAAGCTTGAAGTAAATAGAACTCATAAAAGAAGTTCAAAATGTAGAGAAAACAAGGAAAAAATTACAGAACAATGAAAAAAGGGGGGGGGAAATAATAATAAAATAAAAATAACAAAAACCCAAAGGAAAAAAAATTTAAATTTAAAAAAACCGGAGAAAAAAAGATATAATCCTTTTATCAGCTCACAGTATTGATATATTTTGCTTTGGCTATATTGATGCAATATTGGAAAGCACTCTTTTATGCGAATATAGTCGCGTGAGCTGATGAAAAGATTATTTCTTTTATTTTCCGATTTATTAATTACTATTTTTTGATTAAAATTTTAAATTTTTGCTCTTTCTTTTTCTTTCGGTTTTTGTTATTTTTATTTTTATTATTATTTTTCTCTTTTTTTCTTCTCCTTTTTTTCATTGTTCTGTAATTTTTTTCTTGTTTACTCTACATTATGAACTATATTTTGAGCAGAATATATAGCCTTTAAACCATTTGTTTGGTAATTTTTTCGTTCATTTTCTGACTGTACACAAAAATTATGGTTCTTATTACTACTCAATTAGTAAAAAATACAAAAGCGATAAGTAAACTTAGCAATTCAAAAATTAAATTCAGAAATTAAATATTTATATTTTGAATTACAACTCTTTGGCAATATGGCAAGTGAGAAAAACTATTCCATTTTATGTGTACTGAAAATACTGACGTTTAAATAAATAATTAACTAAAATGAATAAAAATATATTCAACAAAAAAGAAATTTAAGTGTTTAATTTTCCTAATACGCAGACTGGTGTCTCTTGAGTAAAATCTTTTTTTTATTCATATTTTAGATAAATAAATGCAGATGCTTAAAAATTGTAGAGGCTAGTTAGCATTTCGATAATCTGAAACATTTGGCATTTTTAAGTAAACTTAAAATCATTTTTTCAGGAAAAACAAGTCAATCACTGCAACCATTCATAAATATTTTTCTTATGCATCAAACAGTATAAAAATATAAATAAACATTCAAAATTTAAATCTTTGCCAACACCACATAGTCTATACAATTATTTAATTAAAAAAAATATTTGCTTAAGCATTTCGTATTGTATTGAAACATTTACAAGAAAATTTCTGCTGTTAAATTTATCAAATTTTATTGTATTTGTTACTACTATTTAATACAAGCAATAATGTAAACCTGTTAAAAAATCAGATAAAAGTAATTGAAATCTGTAAAAATGTCATTCTTTCAGGTTTTTAGTCTCATTTTCTTGCACTTAAACGTAAAATATCCCCATTCATTTTTATAAAGTATATGTATTCAGAGTACATAGTGCATAATACATGTCTTTGTTAATGATGACGTTTAAATTTTACAGTTTAAGTTGAAATAATTACAGTAATAAATTAAATTTCAAACTTAAATTAATTTTGATTTCAATTTAAAGTGTACTTAACATTTAAAAAAATAGTGTTAGCCTATTCTTTTATTATTTTATGCTTTTTACTTTAAATAAGACCAAAAATTTGAAAGAATTTAGCCAAATATTTTTTTAATCAGCCAAATATTTTTTTATTTAAATTTAAGTAATAATATCAATTTCATATGATGTTATTTGCGCAACTTACAATTTAAAAAAATAACTATTTTTTCAATTAAATGAAAAAATTTAATAAATGATAATGGAACAAGAATTTATTACAAAGAAAAATTCTTGGTTAAAATTAATTTATTATTTCGTGAATTTTTAAATGCATTTGAATAATTAAAATGCACGAAAATACTTAAAAAGTTAAATTAACATGAAAATGTCCTAATTTTCAACAGTTCTCTATACTAGACTGTTAGAATCATATTTTCAAGATATCGGCTCTTATCTATTTTTGAGGATCTGACATTCAGAATTCAAATGTATCAAAAACTATTATTCATTTAGAAAAGAAAGAACACTTTTGTGTCTTATTTAACTCAAAGTATCATATCGTCTTTCAAACTAATTAGCACACTTAAGTTTAGCCCATTTATCTAATAAGAATACCACTTACTTGCGCTTACATACAATCTAGACAATAAATCAAATGTTATTAGGGTGAAAAACTTGTGTTTTTCGGCATTTATGTAACAAAAAAAAATAAATAAACAGACGGTTGCATGTAATCGAAACTTTAATTACATGTCATGCGAAGACTTTAAAACATACCGTTTCAAACTTCGTTTCATTACTCGTTTCGCTTCATTACTTCGGCATTAATAGTCAATAACATATTTGTAAATGAATTATAATGTATTATTTAAATAAACAAAAAAAAAACTTACCTAGTTCAATCAATGATAAGATGATTAGTGCACAGTTAATAAAATGTATCATTGTGGAAATATAACTTTTTCAACTTTCTAAATGAAATTATCCAAAGCAGTGATGTCAGTTAAAATGTTATAGGTTTGTTTCCTTTTAGAAGATCACACAAATATTAATTCTGCACATATTCGACGACTTTCGGATATGATATTTTTAAGTTCGTATTAAAATCATAAAGTTATTTAGCATATATCATGAATATTGTAAGCATTGTTAGATCTTATCGTGATGGAAAGTACATTATTAGTAAAATGTTACATCATAAGAAGGATTACATTGCAACAGCGTTATTGTCACAGCGTTTGTATTTACTAAATTATTCACGATTTCTTTGATTTTTACTGCATGCTAAGTTTGATTTTAGCATAGGTAACTGGTAGTCGTCAGAAACTATGATATTCTTTTGCCTTTTGAGAATATAATTAATAATACTCATATAAGAAAATTATGAAAATTAACTTGGTGATATAATCCATTTGAATTCATTCCTAACCATTTTTAATATCATTTAATATTTTATTTACTTTCTGACACGTAATGTTACAAATACGTTAAATTGAAATTACGCTTGAATATGTTCCGCTCACTTCAATTACAAACTACTTCTCAGCTTAGCGTAAACGTCACAAATAACTCAGCCACTGAAGAAACCCCTAAAAGTTTGTTTCTCAACAGCACCCAGCTGATCAGCGGGGAAGTAGTTTTCAGCCACCAACCTCACACAAAGAATGAAGCATGAATGAATGTTTAGGTGAGAAGTTCGAATTTTCGTGCGTGAAAGAATGTGGGGCGCTGCTAACCTCTGACGTAGTGATATTCTACGCAGACGTCCCACCCGTCCCATCTGTCCCACCCATTCCAAAGTAAGGGGCAGTAAGTTCGGAAATAGGAAGTGAAAATTCTAAGTCGATGATTTCCGACGCTAAGCTTCGAGATTTCATTTTTCGCTCTACTGTATAACGAGCTAAAGAGGTGTTGGTAGAGAATTTATGAGATGAAAGGGAAGGTTATTCGCTTTACTTTCATCTTATGTAAACTTTAATCCGTGTTATAATAAGTTATAGTTTATTTTCTCGCGCGCTACGTTATTTGGCTTTGGAAATTTATACATATTCATTAGGTCGGTAGGCTGTGAGTTACGATAACATTATTTTTATTTAATACCTAGATTATGCGTTAAATAATAGAAGGGATTCGGAAAATAGTTTTATACCGGTGGTTACAGCGTAATTAATTCCATTAAATATTTGGGCAATGTTTAATTAATATGGAAGAGTTTCAGAGTAAAAAAGTAAAATCTAATTAATTTTAAAGAATATACACAAGTGAATTATTCATTAGAGCAACAAAAAAAAACACGTTTTGATCTCAGTTTTTTAGGTCCTGCAGTGGATTGATCGTAAAGACACGGTTTCTAGCAGAACACCTAATTCAAGTACCACCGGATGTGGTCAGTAAAGCGGGTGGGTGACCACTTTGTCAGCCTACGTAGGGACAGAGAGTGCGCGTTATTAGTCCTCGATAAACTGTTATATCGTTAAGAGCTTGACTTTGCACTCAGGTATTCGGGTTACCAAGGCGGGGAAGCAATCCTCTCTGCAAAGGATCAAAATTACGATGCCATGTCTTCGGATCATGATTGGGGATGTTCCCCAGACAGTCGCCAATAACCCATTATAGTCGCCAATAGCCCATTATAGTCGCCAATAGCCCATAGGGGATGGAGCATTCGCCTTCCAATGTATCGAACCTGGTTCGAATCCCAGTCGATACGAATTCCGCCTCCGGCTTGCACCGACCACAGTGCGGACGTGAAATATCCTCAGTGATAGACGGATCATGGGTTAGAGTCCCCTTGTCGACAGGCTAACCGTGGGAGGTTCTCGTGGTCTTCCTTTACATTACATGTAACGCAAATGTGGGTTAGCCCCATCAAAAAGTACTCCATGACGACAAATTTCTCCCAATACTTGATCCACGAGTTCCCTTGTCTTCTGGATTTGGTTCAAAATTACAAGGCTACGGAGTTGAACATTAGTAGTCGTAAATCCATGAAATTGGGTCGACTGTTCAACGACGATTATAAAATAGCCCATTGTGTAGATATAGTGCGACGCAAATAAATACCATATCTTACAATACCTATTTTACTTTCTTAGAGATAAACTACTTNTCCGCTTCCGGCTTGCACTGACCACAGTGCAGACGTGAAATATCCTCAGTGGTAGACGGATTATCGGTTAGAGTCCCCTTGTCGACAGGCTAACCGTGGGAGGTTCTCGTGGTCTTCCCCTACATGTAACGCAAATGCGGGTTAGCCCCATCAAAAAGTCCTCCATGAAGACAAATTTCTCCCAATACTCGATCCAGAAGTTCCCTTGTCTTCTGGATTTGGTTCAAAATTACAAGGCTACGGAGATGAACATTAGTAGTCGTAAATCCATGAAATTGGGTCGACTGTTTAACGACGATTATAAAATAGCCCATTGTGTAGATATAGTGCGACGCAAATAAATACGATATCTTATAATACCTATTTTAGTTTCTTAGAGATAAACTACTTTTTTTTTAAAATTCGTGATGCTAAATTAGACTGTTCAATAAAATACAGTCAGAGTTCAAAATGTTTAAGATTCATACAGCTGTATCGATGCTGAAAAGATTCATCGCCATCGGAGCTAACAGCAAATTGAATAACCATAAATGGTATTGGCAATTTTTAGGCTGATTATTTTTTACAGATGGCAGAAATGGATTTGTTGTATATCTTACAACTAATTTGCTATGAAACTAGATTTGGGAAAAAAAGAAATAAAATTTATAAGTCAATGACTTCCGACGTTAAGCTCTGAGATTTCATTTTTCGCTTAACTGTGTTCGGAACTAAATGGTAGAGAATTTATGAGATGAAATGAAAGGTTATTCTCTCGACTTTCATCTTAAGTAAACTTCAATTCTGGTTATAATAAGTTATAGTTTATTTTCTTTCGCTCTATTATTTGGCTTTGGAGATTTGTACATATTCATTAGTTTGATAGGCTGTGAGCTAGACATATTTTTTTTTTGCCTAGATTCTGCGTTTAGTAATAGAAAAGATTGGGAAATTAGTTATACGTAAAGTTTTATATCGGTGGTCAGATTATAATATAACTTACTTACACTTATTGAAACATAACTGTTTCCATAAAATATTGGAGTGCTGTTTAATATTTATAATAAAATTAATATTGTTGAATAATTTCAAACCAATATCTACAAAATAATTTAATTTCAATTTACTTTATGATATACGGTAGTGTAAAAGCATTGAAATTCAAAATAATGGGTTTTGCATTTAGTTTCATGAAGATAAACCGCATGTTTCTGATTTCACGATGTTAAGTTAGAATTTTGAATGAAATACACTAATAATTTAAAATTTATAGATTAAAATAAAAATAATACTTTGACTAGTTATTATCCCAATGAATAATTTATCCTTAATCTTACAGCTGCATCATTGTTAATAATCAACATCGCCATAACTGTTAAACACAAAATAATTAATAACCCTTAATGGTATTCGTAATTCTTTGGCTGATTTTTTTAACTGATTGGGGAAATAGATTTTTTGTCTATCTAATAGCTGATTTGATAGGAAGCTAGATTTCGGACATGGGGAAGTGATACTCTAAATCGAATATTTCTGATGTTAAGCTACGGGATTTCATTTTTCATACTACCCTTATAACTAGATGAAGATGTGTTGGTAGAGAATTTATGAAATGAAGGGGAGGGTATTTTTTCTAAACTTGTCTTGCGTAAACAATCACACTTATTCCAATAAGATATAATTCGCTTTTACTTTGCTTCATTACATGACTTTCGAAATTTATATACATATTCAATTGATCAGTAAGCTGTGATTTACAACAACATTATGCTGCATGCACTTAATACTAAAAGAGATACAAAAAATGGTCTTAAATTAGTGGCTCTGAAGTCTACTAAATTTATGTACATTAGTGGTCATTAAAATTATATTTAAATTTGATATAAAATAAAAGCAAGTACTTGAAGCTTAGTTCCATCTATTTTATATGTCTATTACCGTCAACATTCTCTTTCTTTAACGATTAAAAGTCGCATTAATTATTAACTAGTAATTTAAATCAGTAACCAAGTTACGAGAGGAAAAATGGAGTCATTCGATCTACTTAAATCTTTAATAATTATGAGTTACAATTCAGTTTGTTCTTCATTATTTATTCATATGAATTCAATCATATGCATTAGATCCGAAAACTATAGATTACAATATCAATATTCTTATCTAATGCATGACCAATAAGTTATATTACCTTAATTGTAGCATATTAGCGATTACGATATTAAATAGGCTTTAAAATACTTTTATATCACTAGTTATAATTAGAATTATGGGCTTACATGTATTATTAATGCATACTGTGTTATGCATAACATATTACACTAATACTGGGATGGGCTTTAAGAAATAGCCTTTTATTGATTATTCATAGATTATTATAGTTGGTAAGTGTTTAACCGAGATTGGAACATTGAATAATGTAAAAAGCTTGATAGATAATGAATAAGACGTTAAATATTTACGCAATAACTCAACAAAATATTCAGTGTACATGATGTAATGAGTTCATTGTTTTACGTTAAGCTAACTGAATAGTCATTCTATGTATGGGATAAAACAAGAAAGAAAATAACGAATTAATTGATTATAAACAATTCAACACAATCCTGCGCAAAATTGAGAAAACCTATACTTCAATATTTAAAAAAGCGGCCGATGTAATATTGTCTGAACTTCCCTATACCAGACAATTATTGATACTAACATCTATTAAACTTAACTACTAACATCTATTTTTTTTATTTCGAGTGCTTTTGATTTTAAATTGTTTATATTTCTAGAAACACTTTTCAATAGTACATCCACAAACAAAGTAAATGTATGGTATCAGAGAAAATTTAAACTAATTCAGTGACATCATTTCATGTAGAATTTCTCCTTGTTTACATGGTATAATTATAAAACGGGCAATAAAACTTGGTATTATTCAAACACCACCGGTTCTATTGAATATCACCGGTTTTATTTTCTAAACATTTGAATAAAATCATCAGAGATTTGCAAATTTTAGGAAATGGGGCTAAAAAAATGCTATATTTGACTTCAGGACTTCTCATTTCTGATTC